AGCTCTCAAATTGAAATTTAGCATTCACGTACCCCCGGGTACCAAAGTACTGTCGTGTGAAAGTTTCGGCGGGGGAAATTACTATTTCGGATCCAAGAAACCTGGGGCTGAAATTTTAGGATAATGTCCCCTTCGTACTGCAACATCGCAAATTTAAATTTCTGTTTTCACGTTCGCCTGGCCATCAAGTGAAAGCTTTAACAGAGAAACTGCTGTCTCGGGAACCATGAAAGCCGAGAGTCCAAAATTTTTGAGAGAATGTCTTTTTCCTGCATACAACCCCGTAAACTCGAATTCAGCTTTCGGGTAAGCCTGGGTCCCATATACGGCCCGTGAGAACTTTAGCAGAAAAAACTGTTATCTCTGGAATGAGAAAATCTGGGAGGCTGAAAACTTCAAGAGGATGTTTTCTCTTCATGCAGAGACCTAAACTCAAACTTAGCATCCAAGTATGGCGAGGTCTCACGTACGACCACGCGAAAGTTTCGGCGCGAAAGTTACTCGGAGACAAGAGAACCAGGAGACTGGAGGTTTAGAACATGGTCCACCATTTAGGGTTTCAAATTCAGCTTTCGCGTTCGTTTACTTTTTACGTACTAGTGCGTGTTTTAATAGGGGATTTCGCAGCTTAGAAACCAAACAGCACATCGGCTATTTTTTCACAAACCAAACTATAAAACAGTGATCTTCAAAAAATAACGCCTACTAGTCGAAACTGTGCAAAACGCATGATCGCGCCAGTTGCACTGGGAGCGCGCTGCTATTTATTCGAATTTAGATAAGTTGACGGCGTTGAAAAGATTTTCATCTCCGGCATTGTTTCCTTTTGTCTCCGTTAAATTGAACATTTTCACCTGAAATATTTTACGGCACTTGGGAGCACTGTCGCTTTTGATTGCAACTGCTAGTTCCATCATTCTTCCATGCCTTGACTGCGCTTACATATAGGAAGAGGAGGATAGCTTTTGCCTCCAGGAAGCTCTAGAGGGTGAAGATGAGAAGGCCAGTGGATGGTGGAATTGGCAAAATTGAGCCGAAAAGTAGAAAAGCAATTAGAACGCGTGATTGTAATCAAAAGCAGAAAACTCGATATTCTGTGTGAAAATGACTAAGAATCAAATTGTGACAGAATAGGTGGTGTTTTTGGCCAAGGGACTAGATCGAGTGGAATTTCAGTTGTTATTGCTTCAGCATTTGCTGGAAAACCGCAGTATTTCAGACTCTCAACGATAAGGTGCGCGACCTCGCCAACCGTCTCCAGCTGAGCGAAAGCAGAAATGTGGATATGAAGGAGGATAACGACCGCATGAAGAAGGATCTAGTAAAGGCGATGACAACCGAAACGGAGCTCAGACGTACCGTCGAGCAGCAGTCTCGCGCCGTCAGTGACAATCAAATTCTCAAGGATCAGGTGAGGAGTTTCGTTGTGGTTCAACAGCGTACCAGCAACACGAATGTAGTGAATGTCACTCGTTTTGATTCCTTATCACTTGGTGTCCCGCTTTGATGGCGGATTAATACCAGCGAATAGTTCGATAGCGCTGTCATGACCGGACGAAATAGATTTTTTGTGATATCTGGAAATTTTTGTGTCCCGTTCAATTACAGGTTAAATTCTTTGTTAAATATTTGTAGAAGAGGGGGATATAAAAATTTGCGGATAAATATAAAAAATCTGTGTGCGTAAAAACTTCCCCTATAAATATGCACTAGTATCAAATATAGGCAGTCCTATTTTAACAAAATGCTCTCCACCAGCTATTTCATTCTTCTCTCCTCCTTTCCAGTCTGTTAATTTTATTCCCATTTCTTTCTTATTTTTACAAATGTGTCTTATTTTTCACGATTGCATCATATTTTCCAATATTTAAAAATTACCCCCTCTCTCCCGACACGTTTTGCGTATACATATTTTTCATAATCCTTTATGCCAGCATCGGCACCACAACCGTCATTTTCCTGTTCATCTGATTATTTTCTATATATCGTTCATATATTATTTTAAGTATACCACCACATATAATTACATTAGTTAGCACCAGCAGTAATCTTTTGTCTTGGTTGATGTTCAAAACACATTTTAAAAAACGAACAGTTAACAGAAAACAAGAAAAAAAACGTTTTTCACCGTGATGGATGTTCTGGTCAGCACTGGGAATAACACCAAAACTAAGAGATTTGATCTGATCATGATTCTGCTACCAGTAGCATGCATTTTTAGCTAGAGAGTGCGCAAAGTGACTTGGCGAATGCAAACAACCGTAAACAGCAACTTGAAAGCGAACTGCTCATGGTGCGTTCTGAGCTGCGTGATCTGAAACAGCGCCTCAGTGACAACAGCAGTCGCATATCGGATTTACAGCGACATCTCAATGATGCCGAAAACGACAAAAAACGCCTGACTGACAGACTGCTTGGTCTGGAAAAGGTTATTGCTTGAATTCGTTTGGACACTACTTGCCTCATTCTATTCGCCAGTGTTTAATCGCCCTTTACTTCGTCTCGTTTTCTGGATCTATATCAGTCAGTTTAGTTGGTATTTTTGGTATTAATTTTGTTCTTTTTTCACTCAGTTTTTATCAATTCGCTAATTGCCTCACTCTTTTAATTCCGACAGAATTCCGACAGAATTTGTGTCTTTGAGAGTAGAATTTATGCCGTTCAGTCTCTGCGCTTTCCGTCACCAGTTTTTTTACACGAACTCGAAGCATTTGAAATGCAGCAGATTGTTGAACTTTCAGACTATATCTCAACAACGCTTAGCCGAAACCGAGCTTCGTCAGCAACTGTCGTCGGCAATGAACGAGCGTAATTCGCTGCAGAATGAGCTTGGAGATTTGCAACGCCGCTTTGCCCGTATCGAGACTGAAAAGAAGATCCTCGGCAACAAATTTGAAGAGCTCGAGAAAATCCGTCAGACACTTATCAAGAGAATTGAACTGGTCAGTAATTTTTGCACTCAAATGGTAGTGTAAGTGTTACTAGGATCACCCAGAGCATTCAGATTCTTCGATTTCGTCCTTTAATGACATTGTAACGCATTAATTTCTAAGTACTGTGGTTGGTTAAAGCAGCAGTTCTTACACAAATTCAAATAAGAGTCATTAAACGTATGTGCGGTAAAATTAACTTCAGAACTCACTTTCATTTCTCACGAACTTTTTCAGCTTGAGACCGAGAAACGGGTTGCCGAAAATATCATCCAGGAAACTGCGCTACAGCGTGAATCAATTGAAAGTTCGTTGAGCGCGCTGGAACGCGAAAACAAGGTTTGCATTTTGCTTCGGAGCTCCAAGCTATAGGCTGCTAAATCACTGAGTAGGCCAGATTCTTTCATTTTCTTTTAGTTAAGGCCCCTTTTGTCTGAAGCCGTTGTTCTCGGCGCTTGAGGGAACTGAGTGGAGAGATATGAAACGAACGCACATGTAACTGAAAACGTCAGTGAACTCAGGAATGCAGCGCCTTTTCTTTAGTTTATTCCTGAATACTAATTCTCTATTGTTTGAGGAATTACATCGCAACTGTGCGCAGCTGCAGCAGCAGATCGCGCAACTAGAGATGG